GAGGAAACAACGAAGGATGAAACAACAAAAGAGAAGGACATCTGGAAAAGTATCGGACAGTCAGAAAGCAGGGAGAGAGCCTGAAGCAGCCAGAGACATGCGGTGAGTAATTTATAAAAATTATTTATTATTTATTATTTATTGTATATACACTATTTTTAAAATAGATATATTGCTTATTATTTTATTATCGTTTTATTTTTCGATCATTTAAATATATAATTCGGATTGAAATGCAGTAAAACAATCGAATCGTAGATCTAAATAATTAACTTAACAAAAAGATCCATAAGATTCCATCCATTTTTGTGTTTTGTAAATAAAAAGATATAAATGACAATGAGTATAGAGAAATATTTATTTCATCTTTGAATATTACAGTATCTTTTACGATTAAATAATTTATTTACTATCAATTTATATACATAAGTATCTAATTATTATACAGCACTGGTGCTACCGGCATTTCGTGCATATAGTACGGAACAAAACCAGAAATTGTGCACATTATATATTATCTTCTGAGAACATTCATGGACATTGGCTTTGTAATTCATGTCCATGTTTTCAATGTTCATAGAGGGAGTATCGGTTTCAGGAATCACCTGAAAGCAGGCCACGATACCTCTCAGTCTTCTTTCTAATCCAGTGTGAGGTTATTGATGTAGAAGTTTCTGAACTTATTTTTCAGATTCGCTTGACAATCATAATTTATACATTTATATTTAACAGAAATATAATTTATACATTTTATAGCAATTAAATGCAATTGTGAATTTTGAAAAAATACTATTCTTTTAATATATCACATTTTGTTTTTACATTTGTTACAAATAAATAGACAACTTTTATATATCATATTAGATAATACTTTCACTTATGTACAAAATCTGCTCGTTAGCTTTCATGATATTCTAAACAGATTCGATAAATGTACTTTCATAAAAATGTGGCGCTGCTTCCAATAACATTTCTGGTTGAATAACAGTCAGATCTTTCATATAGGTTTTATTCGTTTGCAAAATTTCACAAAATAGTAACCTAGAATGAGATAAAAATTGAGTAAAATAACAAAATTCTAATAGAAATAACCAAAGAATTTCTTATATTTACCATTGCGGTTGTTGCAGAGTATATAAGCAGCTATTTGGATGAATATATAAATCCTTGTTACCTCGAACTGTTCTGTACACACCCGTATAATGTAAATATGCTGCTTTAGGGAAGAGACCAGCTGTTAGACACTTGAGAATTTGTTGAATATTCCCTAAAAAAGTCGATAATAGTTATATTTTCAATCAAAATTTAATAAAGAGATTATATTCTTAATTAAATTTAAATTATACCATTGCAGGAAGTCGATGAAATGTCCAAACGTTTCAACATCTTATGCATCTGTGTGCGAATCTCTGTGGCTCTCCGCAAAGCTTTGTGATTGAGAAAATGTTTCTGACACCAGGCAGGCGTTTTATTCTGTTCATAAGCCGTATAGACATTTAATAAAGTAAGAAGATCTCCTTCTTCCACCTCAAACTTGCGATGTGCTATTCTTGCTTTCAGAGCTGCTTGTCCTCCGCCAGGTTGTATAAAAATATTCTGAACTTGTAGCATGGCTAATATCGTTGTGATCTCGACAGAACATCCCATTTCACCTATCAATAACGAAAAATTTATTATTAAAATAACTTTATTATATTAATTATAATTATAATTATAAATACCTATATATTTTAAAGATTGGAAAAAGAATTTTGGTTTTACTCGATTTGATTTTTATATATTTATAATAAATTTTTTTATCCTCATCTACATTATATTTTAATATATTAGAAACTTAATATATCATCTAGAAACTTAATATAATTATTTAAAAAATTAATATAACTGCTTTTACCAGATGTGATTAAAGATTTCGCCAGCACCGGCTCCAATGGCATCTCCGCCATCGTCAAACCTAACGGTATCGTCAAATCGCCATTATTGTCGATTGCACCTAGTGCATAAAGCAATTCTAATCCCGTGACTAAATTCTTGCTTGGCGGTGCAGACGGAAAATTGAACCGCAACACGTTATCAATCCCCAGTGCTTTTAGTTGCAGAATTGCCGGTGCTAAATCTGATCGTTGCATTTCCGGTGGAGTAGCCTCGAATAATTCAGCGTAAGCCTCTTCTGTATATAATCTATTATAAAATTGTAACATATTTTTTTATAGTCTCTATAGTCATAAGTTTAATAATGATAAAATGATATCATATCTGAATTACTTAAAATGTATGAAAGTCGTGCAAGTATTTGCTTGCTTTCTTGTTCTACCTAAATGCTTTTCCTGTGCGAATGCGACCAGCACGGCCAGCTCGTTGGTCAGCGGAAGCCTTCGATACGGGTACGATAACAAGACTGTTCGTTTGCGTTTCTACTTCGAACCAGGGTATCTTGACGAAACCGCAATCAATTACTGTGCATTATAAAGTCGATTACTTTACAATTATATTATCGAGTTAGTCAAGTTATTATCTAGAGGAAAAAGGGTATATATACCATAAACGATATTTGGAATAGTGATAGATGTTTCCGCAATGTTAGTCGCTACGATAACTTTGCGAGTGTCTTTAGCGGCCCTCCAAAATACCTTTAGCTGTTCCGCGTTTGGAAGCGATCCGTACATCGGCAACGGAAGCAATTTCTCTGGAAAATAATATATATTTCATTCGTTTCAAAAAGAAAATAGACTATTAATTTTATAAAAAGTCATTAATACATTAAAATTTTCTTTTTTTTCTAACAAGATGTCGAATAACTATACAAATTTCAGATCATTTCATTGTCTTCAGAATAATGGAGAACGTTAAAATAGCATAAATAATTATTGTTAAATATTGTTGATAAAGATAAGTCATTAGTTTTAAAAACTATTGAATCATCACTTACGTTTGCCGTCTTTTATAAGCTTCGCATGTTCCGACAAGAGAGAAACGGCTTGATCGACTTCATCGAGTCCCGTGAGAAACGCTAGGATATCTCCTGATTCCTCTGTTTCATGTATTTTTAAAACGGTGTCTACTACGCCGTTAACGTAATTTGCCACTGGCTCTGTAACGCGACATAGCCTTAATTAAATAATAGAAGAGTCATAACGATGAATTAGTCGTGAATGACGTTCTAAATGTATACCTTTTAGAAAAAAGACATCTACCGGATATAATCGTCCTTCGACGCTCATTATAATAGCGCTATCTTTACTCGAATCTTTGGTTGTATTTACATTGAAGAAGTCTCGAAGTTCCTCCGCATCAACCGTCGCCGATGAGACGATAATTTTTAGACTCTTCCGTTTCTGCAACGATGAATTTACATTTATCGAGTTTCACATGAGGAAACTTATGTCTCTCGATAAATATAATATAATATAATAATAAAGTGAATTACCCTGATTATTTTTTTCAGCAATCCCATTATAATATCAGTTAGGAGCGTTCTCTCATGCACTTCATCTAAGATAATGACCGAGTAGCTTGTCAATAATGGATCGCTCATTAATTCTCTTAGAAGAATACCCTCTGTCATATACTAAAAAAATAATTTATGTTATATTTTCATATACAAATATAATAATATATGTACTTATAAATGTATTAACTGTAAGAGATAAACATTGATATTCTAATTTATTTATAATATAAATTATACATGAAATGCAAGAAGATGAGAGAGAGAATTATTCTTTTGCAACGAATTAAAACTATTCTTCCGAATAAATAATATGCTTGCATTATGTGTCTTATGATATTGCACCTTAATCTTGGTCGTCTCATCAGTATAATCATCGAACCGTATGCAATAACCGACGATGGTCCCTAGTATGCAATTGTGTTCGTCAGCCACGCGATTCGCTAGAGAAGTTGCTGCGACTCTTCTGGGTTCCGTGATGCCGATCTTTTTTCCATCCGCGCACCATCCTGCTTCAAGAAGATACTGGAGGAATAATAAATGTAGTTTACATGTACATATATTATTTTAAGATATATTATTTCAAGACATTTTATTATATTGAAAAATATGAATTATTTAATGAAAATATGAATGATATACATGTGCATATTATTATGCGTCTATGTACGAATAAATTAATTGCTATTATTATATAAAGGAGCACATATATATTATAGAAGACATCCATTTGTGTAATTCTGGAAAATCCATTATTATAACGTGGGATTTTTATTTTTAGACGGAAGAGACGTACAGAATGAACACATGTATTTCAGAGATCGTTTATATAAAAACATCTTATTGTACATTTTTGTTATATAAAAATATACAAGACAAGAATCGGGCGTTATAATAAAATTCGAACGCGAGAAACCTTATATCTCGAACGCAACTATCGACATTGATTGTCGCAGTATTGCGAAACTTATAGTTTTTTTCCTCTCGTACACGTAACAAGTTTTTGCATATGTCCAGCTTACCCGTGCTGCAATTAGGTAACATTCTTGGCACTGGATTAGATAAAAATGCATAAATGCAATCAGTAACTAATCTATTCAAATATACATACAAACGCGATTGTCTTGTAACGATAAAAAAAAAAAAGGAAAAAAACTTTCAAGTGTTTACGAGAACTTTGGCTTTCGCATAAAAGAATTATTCATCTTACACGCATTTAAGTTTTTAAGTGAAACTATGCGTATAAAAACTTCAGTGTCACTTACGAAAATAGCGCGCAGAATTTCAGAATACATACTTATAACAATATAATATATATCATATATGTATTATATACACACATTTATATATATATATACATATATATGAAAAATTGTAATTTTGTCTTTTTACGTACTAATATATATACATTTAAATATATTTATATATAAATTATATATGATATATATTATATTGTCTCTCTTCTAATACATGTATTTTATTAATAAAATAACCAACAAAATTATAACATTAAGAAAATATACAACATGTAAAATCTTAAATAATTTTCCCTTTTATATGTATCGCATAGTTTTTCTTTTAAAGACAAGATGACAAGATGACAAGCTACAGTATTTTTTGAATTTGTCCAGTCTTTAATTTCTATATTTTAGAGCATAATTTTTTCGATTTGAAACTATTGTTAATGTAATGTGATTTGATACTGTAATGGGATGTTTATTTTTAATTAAAATAACTATTGTAACGTTCTTGACTATCGCTTAAAAATTGCTTACAGTGTCAATTTTTTAATTACAAAATTTTGTTTTCGAAGACATGGATATTTGCAACATTATCGCGGAAGAATACAATTTACAATACAATTTATTTAATTCGAAAATCGGCACAATACAGTCTCATATATTCCTTAATTAAGAAATTTTATCCTCAAAGCGATGTGTTTTAAGATTATATTTAAAAAAATCATATAATAAACACATAAGCACATAATTATAATTTAAAAAATAATAAATATTTAAAACGCGGTTTAAGAACAAATCGAGTGAATAATTATCATTATAGAACGTTCACAATAACAAGAAGCAAAGTGTCATGGACTAGGAAGCGCGTACAAGGAGAAGAACCGCAGGCTCTCGTTCACTGGTGATACCTCCACATATGCATACGCATTAATATAATGAAATTCGCTGATAAGAACAAGTAATAACAGGACGGAGGGTAATTGCCACCATGCGAGCCTAACATATTCCCAGGTACGATCCATGAATATCGCTAGAAGCAAGTAATCCATCATTGCGTGGAAATTCAAGGTCTTCCAGGCGAGTGCGACTGTCCAGAAAGAGGGGCTCCTGAAGACGACGGTTTGCCTATCGTAGAGATCCTTGCGCGTGATCGGAAGAATGCTACTGTCGGTCTCTAGAAGATCCTGATACACGGATATGTATCGATTCCAAGCGATACTCGTCAGGGAAAAGTTCAGGCCCACCATCAGCATATTGTACAGGGGCGACTTCCAGAACGGGACGGAGGAGACGGCACTGTTGGACGTTGATGACGTTCGAATGGGTAGTCGTTCATAGCCAGCGCGGCGATTGGAATTGCGTTTTAGAAATAGAAATACCGCGACTACGAGAGCGATGCAGCCGAGGCCATCGCAAACGCCGTCCACAAAGTAACCGATAGAACCAAAATCCGATCTCTCGCCGTCGATATTGAGTCTAGTTCTGGCCACGTGGCCGTCCAGGTTATCTAACCAGGCTCTGACTTGAAACAGAACGGCACCGACTCGTCTGTGAGAGAGAGAATTCCGTGTGATGTATCGGGCGCCGATTATGGCCACTATCACGTGAGATACACTGATGATGTTCGGTGTCAGCCACGTCCAGAGACGACTGATGCCCAGTAGGTAATCCACTAGGCTCGCCAAGGGACTCAGGATATAATGATTAGGATGATCCAGCATCATAGCTTTCACCGTCACCGTGCAAATCGGATTCACATCGCATAAAATTGGCGAAGGATACGGCGAAATTCGCGTGTCGTTTCCACGCGGACGCACATCGTAATTCTGTACCCTGAAGTAAAGCAGCAGATCCATCCCGACAAAATACACCGAGAATAATAGTAGAAGCACCAGGAATGTCTTGTTGATTAACATTGGCAACCACATTTTCGGAAATTGCGTCGTTATGTCATTCGTCGGTTTTATTTCTCTTAATATTCTTCTTTTTTTATTCAAGCCCATTAGCATACTAGTTCTTTACTAGCATATTCATTCTTAATTTAATTTTAATTATTTTATATCATTATTTCTTGAGCTTATTAAAAGAGCTAGTATATATGTATATATATATATACATATATATACATATATATATATTCTATTGTCACGGTCGATTATTATTTTTTAATTGGCGTTGTTGTAATGCCCTGAATCCAGCTTGTGTGTGTGTGTGTGTGTGTGTATATGCGTGTGTATGCGTACACACGTCTCACGAAAATCTTGTCAAAGTATGCACATTCTCTTCGCCTCGGCACGGATCGATTGTCAGAGCATTATTTTTGCGATGAGTCTCTTTCTCGCCTTTGGATGCACTCCACATTTTTCGATGAGTCACATTTCCATCTTGACGCAATTAAATGTTAATTAGCTCGAAGAAGCTCGTCTTTCACATCGTAAAAACTCACTTGTCAATGCGACGTTCACTAATAAACACTGACACTGACTTGCGATAAAAGTTAAATATCACTCGGCCGACGTCGAAATCGGGGAATACACTTTTGCCGCAGGAGGACTGCACACCGAATCTCGCTGTCGTCGTGTCCGTTACTGCGCGATATTCTGGAATACTTTATATGTAATACGTTGCGTTTCTTAAATGCGACCGTTATCAGTATACCTCACTTCGAGCCTCCTCATAGATCAGATTATGGCGTCGCGTCGGCCAATGTTTTCGGTCTATCCGGTGCAAAAGCCAGGGACACAGCAGTTGGACACGCGCGTGTATCCCGCCATTGACTCTTTTCTTTTCTTTTTTTCTCTTTCAGAGGTCGTCGATCGTCGTATAATCGTCGAGCCACGCGGTCGCGCCACGCTTAACGGAGAGGAGAGACAGCAAGAAGGAGAGAGAGGGGGGATGAGCGAGAGAGAGAGATAGAGTGAGGAAGGGGGAGAGGGGAGAGAGATGGCTTGCTGTTGTGTGTTACCTCTACCGATCACAGGCTTCGTTCCATTCTGTAATAGATCAATATTAGAGATCGACCCACGACTATTCCTAATGCAGTCCAAGAGAACTCGACGCACCCACCGAACATTATGACGCGAACTGTGTTAAATGTTCCCTGCTCGCAGGGAAAGGAGCTCCGCCCCAGAACGCGATAAGAATGACAGAAGGGAGCGTCTCTCCTCGCGCACTTTCTTCGAATCTCTGAAGGCTATCTCGCACGGCTAAATGCTCTTTATAGTTAAATCCTAGTACACGCGCAGAACCCTCGTACGTGAAATTCTATTTATATTTGTGCGGTGTTGAATTTCATTTTGAGATGTCAGGAGGTCGTATATATGTATATAAATGGAAAATTCTACCGCTAATGTTTGCCACGTTAGCACTGAATGTAAACTACGAGAGGCGAAGATAAGAATCATTATTTCACACAGCGTGAATAATCGATGACAATAAAAGCCGTTATTTAGTGTTTAAGGCCAACATGGTAGATGATATTCTTCTTTTGTATATATCTGGTATAAATTTAGATTATCTTGATGTTGGTTAATCTTCAACAATGTATGTGGTTTTGTCATAAATTTAACAATTTTCAGAATATTTGATTATAATGTGATTTGTATATCTGATAATGTATCATGTGATACATTATCAAATATCACAGATATGATAAATCATATAAATATATATTTAGCTATGATATAACATGAAAAGTATGTAATTGAATACATAATTTTTTTTCAATAATTTGTGCATCTTTTAAAGACATAAATAACAAGATGACAAAATTTTATAATTTGAACAAAGGAACATCAGTATTTCTTTTTTTTTGATATTGTTTTTTTAAAGTATTTTGCAAACTTATTAATTTTCATATTTAAAAAGAGAAATCAAGACTTATATGAATACAATAAGTACAGCATTGCAAACTCTGAGTTATCTTAAAAATATAAATTACACATTTGAGTCTCACCTGTGGCACTTGTGTGCTTTTACCGCAGCCTGTTTCGCCTACCAGGACCAAGGTCTGATATTTCTCCAATAAGTAAATAATATGATTCTTATTTTTAAATATGGGTAATCGTTGTCGCTGCATGTCAAGTGCAAGTGAGTGGTGCGCATTGTAAACAAATTGTGTTGATGAATGGGCATCGATATCAGGCTTATCCTCCTGCCACATGCTTTCTCCTAATTAATAAAATTATTAAATAAGTAATTAATTTAATAATGTCTTTTTTACAACTTATAAATGGTAGAACATGAAATATTTTCTAATGTATTTATATTAAACTACATAGATTAGACTTAAGTACAAATCTTCAAAACCATCTGCTAGAAATGACAATATAAATATAATTTTCATTTACCTCGATCTGATATACCTCGCATATTTTAATATTTCATTATATAAAAACAGAATATAATTTGATGAAATTGTAATAAACATATAATATTGTGATAAACATAACCTTACCTGGTTTAGAGAAAAACGGCCGAAACATTTTTAAAAGTTTGAAACGTAGCGTTTTTTAACGTAAGAAAGTTTATATATTTTATTAAACGAATATTATAAATTATTCAAATAAAAGATAATTAAATATAACTGCATGTCAATATCGTGCAAGCGTCTAACAATTACAATGGTAAATTTTCACTTGCACGATAGATGGCTCTTGCTATTGTCATTTTAAAATTGTCACCAAAAATTTTATCGGATTATTTTTAATAACAATCATATGAAATTGTACAAAATTAATATTTATACATGTGAGTGCTATCCTATTATCAAATTCGCATTTTATTCAAAATATTTCTTTTTTTTTGTATATTGTCCAAAAATATGTATGTAAAATATAACTTGTGTATACATATGGTCCATGTATATAATTTACACACACACATATATATATATATATAAATTATATACATGAATTTCATCAAATATCTAAATTGTTACACAAACTTATATATAAAAACACATTAATTAAATTTTTCAAAAATTTATGTCAAAATTACCACTATAGAGGAGGAAATAATGGTTTATGCAATATAGAGAACCATCTTTATTTGTATTAGCTGTTGAACACATTTTACCATTTTAAATCTTAAATATACATGTTTTATACCTCCACTGATTGACAATTATATTTATTATATACGAAGCAAAATAATGTGTTGAAAATTATACAAATCATTGTCATATGACTGATACTTCTGCGATAAATAAAATATTGGAACTTTTGTAAAATATTGGAACTAATATAACATTTCATAAACGCAACTAAAAAGGAAAATGACAACTTCTCGTCTAACATCTAATAATTTCGAATACATAATATGCAGATCAATAGCAGCTAATCTGAATTAAGTCAATCAGATTGTGATTTTTCTTTGTGTCAACTGCAATTTTTATCAGACTATAATTTTCTAACATGTCATTATCAAAATTCAAATCAATTTTCATTACTCATTAATGTTTCTATACATACATAGGTACAATGAGAACCGAGGTAAAAGACAAATTATATATGTATACTGCACGCCTCGTAAGAAAAATTTTAATTCTTAAAAAAAAAAACTACACACGTTTTAGAAACATAGTATTCGCATAGATTTCATTTTTGAAAATGATTTCTTGAAAAAAAAAAAAAAAAAAAAATTTCTGCATAAACACATCTTGTGTTAGCAGAATTTAATATTTAATAGTTTATCTAAAATCTAAACGGTCCAGTTTTTCTTGTAAAAGTTACAGTTTACATAAATAAAATATTTAAATATGTACGTTTAATGCCAGTTATAGAAATGGCGCTCTCTTTAACAGTTTCTTATCGGCGAACAGTCGTAACATTACAAGTCATAATCTATTTTCGGGAATGTATTTTGATTTGCAGAAAAATATCCGTATTCTATCTCCAATGTATAGTTCAAGGTGTGTGTGTCTATATGTATAAACTACAATATGTATCTGTGCGTCGGAAACAATGAGGACTAGCAGTAGGTGGAAATATTATGTTGCACAATGTACCCATTTTCCAGACACCGCACTATCGTTTGTCTCTCTTGAAGAATTAGAAATATATTATTTCTAAACATTATCGGTATATTTTCTTACTTTAAGATTCTAATGCTAAGTGAATATATAATATGTATGCAGTGGATGCCAGTACAGAGAGAACACGGTTTGCTTAAGTTTTATATTAATCACACGTAACCATAATTTCTTTATAAATATCGGTCTCGTTTTAATGTTGCCAATTTATTATAAGAAATACTATGGGAGACACACAAGCATCCTGAACACAGAAAGTCTTTAATGCAAATGTCAAATGTTCTTTTTTCTGTATTTTTTTGCTTTTATATGCTCGCCATTCTTTATCTGAAAATGCACAGATGGTCTGCCCTGGCTTCACACTCGGTAGTTAAAATTGCGTCTATGGATTAGGTCTGTCTGTCAATAATAAACATAAGAGAATATTAGGCCGTGGCCTCCTCTGTATCGCCGTTATTCTCGGCCTCGGCGCACTTTTCCTCGAGTCTCGACTTTTTCTCGGGACTCGCGCCATCCTGTGCATCTTCTGCTGCATCAACTCCAGCTGTTGATTTCCTCTTTATGCAACAGCTATCGGCAGGAGCATCTAAAAATTAAATAATAGAGAAAAAGAAATGTATTTATTACAGATGTCTCTCTTTGAACTTCAGTTAATGACAATAATGTCTTTAATAATACATACCTGTAGAATCTCCGTTTTCCGTAGATTCAGCTTCTTTTTCATCAACTTCTTCTTTCTCCTCACTCGAGCCATTCTCTTTGGTTTCTTTTGTATCCCCATTTTCAGATGCTTTTGAGTCTTCATCGACAACTTCCTCTTCTGTTACTTTTTCTTCAACCACCTTCTTCTGAGGGGTAGTGACTTTGGTCTCCCTGGAAACAATAGTGTAAGTAGAATGTATATTCCATATACTAAATATATTGTGGAACAAAAAAGTACATGTAAAACTACATTCTAATTATATTAATAGAATTAATAGAATTAATATTCGATAATGTATTTCTCTAGCCAGCAATTAATTTAATAATTGCTTTTGCCATTGTATTTAATTTAATAATCATTTACTCATATAATTATTACTTGTATATTTATTGTAATACATTTTTTTCTACAATGTTAAACATTTCTTCTATATTAGAAAGAGTGATATAAAAGTGATATAAATTATTTTATTTACATTATATTGTGTGTATAGTGTAACATTTAGTCAGTATAGAAGATATCATCAATATAGAAGAAATATATTATAACAACTATATAAATAATAATTAATTATACGAGTAAATGATTATTAAATTAATTGTTGGCTAGAGAAATGCATTATCGAATATTAATTCTGTTAATATAACTAGAATATTGTTTTGTATAAATTTTTATTTAAAATAGCATAATATTACGACCGAGTTGCGATAAAAACCGCAAAGAAACCGCGCGATATACATTTCCCGTTCAAAATTGCAGGTCGTTGCTGGCGCGCTTCTGCTTTGGTATTTGCTGCCGTTTCACATTGCTGGCTCGCAACAAGGACGACGCGACGAACGAAGCGAAATAGAGATAGGGACGCCGCCAACTGTGGCGGCACCTAGTGAGGTTAATATTATCCTCCCTCCTCTTACCCCTTTGCGTCTCTCGCCGACCGTCAAACAACCACCGCCATTACTATTCCTACTACACTACTACTACTACATCACTACCATTACCACTACCATCACAAACTCGCCACAAACACACGAAGGCTCATCGTGGCGAATCGTGTGCGCGTGTGTCGTATATGCACGATATGTAATACATAACGTGTGAGATATACACGCGTTCTCTTTATACGTTCCCTTTTCAACATCGGTCTCTACGCGTGCGTAGAACGTAAAGGATGCCGTTATTCCTAACCGCTATTATTCGTCTTGAAAGCAGCATTGAGGAACCGGTATTTAATTGATCGAGGAATGGATATAAATATATAAATCTCCCTTCCCTTTTCGCGCGTTTTTACGTCAAGATCAAAGTTTCCGGAGTCGCCGATTAAGCCGCGCGTACTTGGCTCGGCGGAGGATTTTCGCGGGAAATATCGCGCTTGATAAACCACCGTCCTTCGTCATCTTCGGGAACGTCTAATCGCCGCGAGTCGGCAGATCGATACGTCGTCGACCGCTTTCAAGTTGATGGCGTGACGGAGAAAGGACCGGCGGCTACACGACGACGATTTCTCCCGATTACGTCGAGAGCGAGCGAGAAAGTCACGTGAAAGAAAAAAAAAAATATTGTTTCGAAACCGCGGGATCGTCCTCGTGTATTCGTCCTCTCGACGAGGGTGGTTCTCGCGGAAAACCGCACGCATGTGTTACGTACCACATACGCGATTCGTCTGTGTGCATCATGTACGCGCGCGCGCGCGTGCACATATGTCATCTACATAGGCGACGTAAACAAACGAGCGAAGTGGTCGAGCGCGAGAGACAAAAGGAATAAGAGGTCGCCACTGCCGCCGATCGGCGACGATGCGCTCGTCTTCGATCGTGCGAGGGCGGGCGGACGCGAGGGGGAAGGGGAGGACGGAGAATAGAGAGAGAGAGAGAGATATAGGGAGAGAGGATCGGCGCGGGGATGACGATGAAGCCGCCATGAAATCGCCGCAAGTAGAGCACGCGTCGCGCGCGCGACGTCGAGGGCAGATAATTTCCAGCGATCGTTAAGCGTAGCGCGAATCGGCCTGAGAATATCGTTGCGGCGAGATATTGTGAAGAGAGAGAGAGAGAGAGAGGGGCAACGCGCTCGGTCTTCCTCCTCCTCCCGCCGCGAGCCCCACGTCTCCCCTTCCTTCTCTCCTCGTGATCGCCAACCTTTCTCGGCGGACCGCGAGTATCTCGATAATAATTTGAAAGCGAACGAGCAAGGGCAACGGGAGAAAGCAACGACGACGACGATGACGATGAGCGCGACGATGACGATCCTGGGTCGGGAAAATGGATCGTCCGATCGCGAAAACGCGATCTCGCGCGCGCCACCGAAGGGAACCGACGCCATCCGCGCGCGGTCGCGCGATTTTTTCCTCGCCGACGAATCGATACCGCGTATTTACGCACCGAGGCACGCATGTATATACTCACTTGGGCTCCGTGTCCGCCATATCGATCGATTCGATCGCGAGAAATCCACGCACAAACAGCACCGAACCCGTAAAAAGCACACCTCAATCGACACGACGGTTACGCGTCTTCTACGCACCGGTAAGCACACGTCGGAGATTCCGGTAACACCGCTGCCGCGTACCGACGCGCAAATGGCAGAGGGAAACGCGCACTGATTCGCCCGAGACCCGAGCGACTCGGCCCGGCCGGCGGGCCGGCGGCCTTCAAACGCTTTTCTTTCCCGCTCGTTTACAGATGGCGCGCCCGTCGCGTCGCTATCGCGCGCGCGCGTGCCGTCTCGCCGTCTCGCCGCTCGCGTCCATGGAGGAAATCGAGTCCTCTCGAGAATCGAGGTGAAAAACAGGGGACGTAAGAAACGAGGAATAAATTTGCATTTCGCGTTATCGTCTATAATATCGATGCGTTCATATTTTGCGTTATTGTACGTATTGTGGGATTTTCTTGCAATTATGCTCGAGAAGATGATCGAGAAGAGAGAATAGATAAGTAAGATTTAACACGTTCAATTTTCTGTTGTTTAATTTAATTTCTTATTTAGTACAATAATTGCAACAAGTTATTTTTTTATATCGTAGAAAGATAGATTTCTTTATTTATGAAAACGTAAATGCGATTATTGACATGTAAATTAACGGTTTTTTTCCTTCCCCATAATTGAACCAATTGAAGTTGTAGCGGTTCGATTCCTAATTCCTATACATCGATACGTTTATTGCGAACGAATCGTTATATTTATTCCCCGTTCCTCATATCTTATTCAGTATGTCCCGTCTTTACCGCCGTTATCGTGCAATTTTATCGCGTGCAACATGATTCGTAAAAATATCTCGCATCAGGTCTGCTAAGCTTTACGAAGGTAATTCTGGAATCCGTTAGTACAATGTATTCGAAGGATATTGATTATTTTTTTGAATTTCAGGAAGACACAAGGGAGCACACAAGGGAGTCGCAGTTTATATCTTCGGAATGAGGTTAAGATCATACGTGACAACGAATAGTTGCCGATCGAGATACGCTGGACAGAGAAAAAGATGACAAAAGCATCGGTGGAAACACACTGCGATCATTATATCCACGCCAACGCGATTGGAAGTAAGTAAAATAAAGATAACACGACGCCGCAAACGCGGCCATTCAATTATTCGCGGCCAAAGTTCGCTCCACGAACGAAGGTAGCGACATCATCTCGATGTCTCGACGATTCCCCTTCTCCAACCGCGTCCCTTCCACCGCGACATCCACGATTACAACTCGCTCATGTTAGCGTTAAAAAATTCGTGCATTTATTATTTACTCGACCGAATCGCAATTTTGCGGCTCGTCGATTAATTCGTCGCATCGATCGGATGTTTCCCGCTCGTAACTCGAGGCTCGAGTATTTGACAATCGCGCGTCTGTGCGCGGCGTGCTTGCGAAAGTTCTAGAAGTTTCGCGGCATGGCAGCACTTCCGGTGTGCGGGAAAGGTGCGCGACGAGCGTGCCGCTTCGCGTCCATGTTACAGGTTGCTCTGAAACTCGATAAATGCGAGATTTCCCTTCTAAGACCATAATAACGTTGCCAGCCGCTGGAGAAATCGGCCGCTGGAGGAGCCGGCATTCGATCTTTTTTTAGAAACAGGTTGCGGTCACGTATAGCTGTCCCTTAGGCTTCCGCTTTCTCGAGATCTTTTTATCAAATCAATGGGAAGGAAATATCGGAGGAAGCGTATATAATTACTTCTTTCGAGATTAACATTTATTCGGGATGTAATTATTTTATCGTTATAATAATCATTAATTTTTTAAGGCGAGTTGTGTTTAATTACGGTAATTAATTTGATGATTAATTCGCAGATAGCTGGATGTTTTTGATAAATATTTAAGCCAAGCGAGAATATAAGGAAAAATTTATTAATTTAATTTAATTTAATTTTAATTTAATTTTCACGAAAATACATAAGACAAAAGATATTGTAGATGAATTTATATATTTTAAAAATGACATATTTTTTTTTTCAATAAGCGTTCTTAGAAGATGTATTTATATATCATGATGGAATATTTTTATTAATCGCGAGTGCGCAATTTTTGGCTGTGCCACACTTGCAGCAGCGTTTCGTCCGTTCCGTAAATATATTTTTTGTTCTGGCACACGTGCTGGCAGTCCACGTAAGCACGGAGATAACCAGAGCGAACAGCAGCTGCTGTACAGGTGAGGCGAGGTGGCCAGATGCCTCCTTCCGAACATCTTTCGACGAAACCGACTCGATCCGGACATATTCCGAATATATAGATTTGCTCGAAATTTTCGATCAAACTTTCACGGGAGAAAGTAATATTGCGTGCGTTTGTAAGAGTGGAATATTTGTTCCTTAACTCATCTTTGCGCCTTCTCTCTCTCTCTCTTTCTCGTTCTCTCTTTCTCTCCCTTTTTCCTCTCCCACGCATTTTCGTCGAGGCAAATTTGTAATAGTGCTTATCCTTTTTTTTTATTTCAGAATTCTTTTGTAATCTCGCCTATAACAAGCCGTCGTAATGCATTAATGATGTTTGTATTGATTATGTTGAAGATTATCTGGCTGTCGATACAATCGCTTCAGGGTGGACTTGCTCGAAAGTCATCGGTATTCGATAAGAGCCGAGCCCGTTTTTTACTGGGTCAGTGGATGTGCCCGCCTCGACCGCGGATCTATTCCAACGACAGTGATCTATATTCGCTTTTGCAGTATTGAGATCGCTAAAGATAGCGATGCGGGACATCTAAATTTTCATTTCGCTGGACCAAATTCCCTCTTCTTTGCGTCGGCGAAACGTCGCTCTCATTGAGATGCACTTTGCCATGCACTTTCGGACCTAGGTTTCCAAGTGGTAATTTGCGCTTATGATTTCGCGACAGAAAGAGAGAGAAAGAGAAATCAAAATTAGAAATGGAAATATACCGGCAGTGGTCGACATGTATTTCCAGTGGAGCCTACATACGAATACGCTTATTAATAGCGCCCCGAATAAATACCGTCTCAAGGATACGAGCACACAGTATTGCGTTTTCGCGACGATCTATGCAAAGCCTTCGTGAAAGCGCGCGCGAAGCGTAAAGGAACCTATTAAATAATTCACATATAGAGCATGTAGCAAGAGGAATTGGATCTTAAGGAAGAATATTCTTTAAAAGATGGGTTTTACTTCGCTTTAGATTATTAAATTTAAATTTATATACGAGTACATTGAGATACATTGAGATCATATATTAAATTAATAAAATAAGTATCATAAGATGCATTTGCAAAGTTCTTCAAAATATTTAAGAAACTTTGTAGGAAATCTATATTTTTGATAAATAATATACGAGAGAAAAAAACTTAAAGAATCAAAAAAATAACTTTTGTATAGTTATTATTATTATTATTGTAGAATTATTATATATTTATGAAATTTGTGTCAAAATTCTCGAAGGAAATTGTATATTTGTTTTTATTGTTCTAGCTTTTTAACTTAACATTCTATCTTTTCTCTGCGAGATGTTCCATGTAAGAAACTAGCGTGCTTCCCTTCGACAAATTGGTTCGCTGCTTCGGGTCACACAATCAATAGAGAGCGCGTGGACGCGCGCATCCTGTAGGGTAGAATCAAACTGGGCTTAACCCTAAACAGTACAAGCAAACTCCCACAGGTCCTTTTGTATCTCCAACAATATTGGAACACGGCAGTAGCATACATGCAAATTATGTGGGCTATCTTTGTGATGCATAAGAGAGGCACGTGACATAAAATACACAAATAATACACTTTCATATATGTATATATATGAAAAATTAGATTATAAGAAATAAGATTTGAAACTAAATACGCGTATTGCTATTTTATATTTTAATAATTACAAAAATGTATCCCGTATAAAAAATTACTTGTTTTCAAACCGTAAATTTACACATCTTACATGTATTGGAATATTTCTTCAGAAAACATTTCTTTTCCTCTGTTGCCAAGTCACAGTTGTTAATTCCCAAGATATTGATACGTCTCATTCGGCTAAGCAATATATTTTTTTTAATCTATATTGCGGCGCGATTAATCAGCCAATCATTATTACAGCCGCCGCTCGGCTATAGATAAATTTCTCGACGGAGATATAATTTATAAACGCCACGCATATATATCCTGATCGGCCTTTATATCCAGCGTGGCGTTCACAACACGGCGGTGTATCATACGAAAATGCCGCGTGTGTTCAGGCTGGCCTGACCCGATCGCACCTTTTGGACTCGCGAGCAACCGGTTCGCGTTTCGTCCCGCTCTTCCCTCGTGTCCCGTCCACGTCCCATTCTCTCCACCCCTATCTCTCTTTTTTTTCCTCCCTCTCTCTCTCTCTCTCTCTCTCTCTCTCTCTCCGGCTTTCCCGTCGACCGTTCTAAAACCGCGCCGCCTCTGTCTACAGTTGAGAACTAATCGGCAAAGGATTATCACAGGTCAGCGGATGTTCAACCTTCCGTACACCTACCTATCTACTACGGTTCGATACCGCGATATCCAGTCGATCATTATTAATAGACCAATGCCGTTGCCGGTAACGACGTCGTCGCCGAAACCCCTCGCGCGCGCTCGTCGATTGCGATACCACATTGCACGTCTATTCGACTCTGGATCTCTCGAACCGGTTCCCCCGTTGACGTGACTGACAGCAACAAGTCTCGTCTGTTATCCTCTGACCGTGATATTCTGTGCGACGACACGACATTTGTAGGATTCGCACGTAAAGCGGCCCGATTCATTCGTCTTCCTCGCGCTCGCTTTTAATAGATATTTTCACGTGTCACCGAAATTAAAGAGGCCAAGCTAGAAGTGTCGTAAAAATTTCAGAAGGTTGACGATTCTATGAAAGAACGTTGTATAACGAAAAAAACACTCTTACATAAAATACTTTCGGAGCTCTACATCTAAAAATTTCTCACACACGAAATTGAATTTAGACGGTCGATTTCACTCGTACAATGGTCGGCTCTATTTTATCTCCAGACGCCAAGCGAACGAAATTTTTTAAGCAGCTACACGTATTGCTTTGAAAAATATTTCGCATAAAGCACGAGCTTTAACGCTCGTTTAATTCCGTTCGTATATGGATGACCTCTCCTTCGATTGGATAATCCTGCGATAAGAAGCGCTATTACGATAAAGCGTGGATTGTATTCTCGATTAGTACGGAGCCCGATTTCAACATAAATTAATTAACGCGAAGAACATATCTTTTAATTAAGAAATTAACGAGATAAAAGGAGAAATGTATAAACGACTTGATAAGAAAATTATAGACGAATATCGTATATTGTCGAAAAAAAAAGGAAAGTTATAATAAAACCATAGGTGAAAATATTATTTTTTCAATATAATAATCAACAAAAACTTTATGCTTTGCCGTGATTAGGATTTTGGTAAATGCATATCCCGCTTACTTTTGACGTTTAACAACCTTATCATCTCATCCAATCAAGATTTGCTATTACAAATCATAAATTTGAATCTCTGCAGTGTAAATAGCCGAGTGAGGGTACATAAAAGCGTCTCGATAGAGACGCGCGGTATAGTAACGTAACGGCAGAGAAAGGTTTCGCTCGCGGGGACACGCGCGCTCGAGAGAGTGAATTTTTATCATGGTCGGCATTAGATTGCGCGCGATAATGCTCGGCGGTTATAGTGCGCTTTAAGTGTCTCTTTTCGTGCGTTTCCCGAAGTAGAGATAAAGTCAAGCGCGCGAGAGTCGTTTGCGAAAATCCCCTGACGTAACGTTATCCGCGACGGAGATAAAAGCGCGATCGCGCCGACCACGTGACCTCCGAAGCGCTTCCAAATTTCGAAAGCAGACCTTGACGGGATACGATGTAAAGTTTTTCGGTCGGCTGACTCAGAGTGCCGTCCTCGGAATCGAAGAACGTGACACAATCGTCTTCTCGGAGCTCATCGATCAGGGCTGACTTGAGCCACCTTCGGGGCCCTGACTTTACGGAACGGTCGCACTTTTTAAAGAGAGGAAGGACGTAGGGAATAGAATGAAGAAATCGGGTCAGGGTTGTTCTTTTTCCAAATCCGAGCCATGTATGCTTGCATAAGCGATCTTTTGGAAAAAAAGTACAGATGTAATAGTTCAAGGATAACATTCTTTACAGCAAAGGCGTTATCAGCTCATAAAGAGGGCAAAAGAGTGTGATTAATATAACCGCCTTCTGGCTAGTTTCCATAATTATTAGGAAATTTCCATAATTATTAAACATATGTTTTATCAATCTCTGTTTAATTATCTATGTATGTGTATTGGTATATTTTTTCAATCTTCGAGACTGTTGCATAAACTTTAATTACTGATCAACAATTTGCATATATCAACGAGTGAGACGCATGCATAAGCAATATCGATGTAAAATGCGATTTTAGAATAACGTTGCGTCTGAAAAATCGTCTAAATGGCCGCTTGTCCGAGAGAAGCAACAACGTTCCGCTTCTGTACGCGCGTGTTCGTCACGTGACGTTGCGCGAGCATCGTCGAGAAGAGATTACTGCGGGGAGGGGAGGGAGAGGGGGTCGGCTCGATCGCGCGTCAGTTCCGGATGCCGCCTCGCGATGGCAGCACCTGCCGATTCGGCGCAGCTCCCATACGACGCTACATCTCTCGGTGACAGGAGGAAGCAACAGCTGACTCGCGACGCACAGTAGCTCTCTCGCCTCCCGGAGCGGTACCTCGTCACTTTCGCACTCGTGCGAAAAACCCCCCGAACGAACGAGCGAGCGAGCGGAAGAGGTGTCGCGTCGCCATCTTTAGACACGGCTGTACCCGTCTCGCCGACGTCACCGCCGTCGCCGTCGCCGTCGTTCGCCGACGACGCGTGCGAGAGTCCACGACAATCGTGCAACCTTCGGAGCGTCGCGCAACAGCCTGCGCTTTCGGACGCGAACGCAAAAAGTGACTTGGCCGTGAGAGCGAAACCCCCCCCGAGACATCGGCTGCGCTCGATCACATCGGTAACCGGGGCGCGAGGAAGCGAGGTGCGCGCCGCGAGTAGCTTCCTCGCCCAACGAGACGTCCCTCTTTCCTCTCCAGATCCCTCCCCGTCACTGTCTTCGCTTGTCGTCGCGAGGAGGAACGTATCGGGGAACAAGGAGAACTGGCGAGAACGGAGCAACGGTAAGTGGAAAGGACCCGGAGTGCGGTTCCCTGGAGTGTCGCGACCCGGGTACGATCGGTGTGTATCTAATTCCTTTAGATGCCGAACGCGTGCAAGTGGGCTCTACCGTGTACGTGTGAGTGACAGTCGACGGGAATCTTGCGCTGCGCGACTTTGCTCGGGATAGGAGACTCGGACGGTATAATCGCGGTACTCGAAGGCAGAGCGGGCAGAGAATAGACGGACATTGAAACGGGTGGGACAGAACGACACGAGCGTGCGAGAGGAAAGGAAAGAGAAACGGCAGCTCGCAGCCGTGCTGGACGACAACGACGACTAACTGGTACAATTGACAGGGAAGATGGCGCGACTCGCGGACGAGGATCGCTGCTGACCTATTTTTTTTCCGACGCGCCAAATCTCCGGGTGTCGGGAGCCTCTCGCCGAAGGACGACGGAGGAGGAGGAATCTCTCCCTCGTCCCTCCCCCTCTCACTCTCGGGCGAGCGCCGTTTGCGGAGCGTGGTGACGTTCGCCGAGAGAAATATAGCCGACGACAGCAGGGAAGGCAGCCGTAGGAGAGTGTAATAGAAAGAGAGAACGGACTCTGGAGTTGCGCCGGGAGGGTGCCCTTTCGCGCCGCGCTCGCGCGCGCGCTTCTCCTCCTGCGTGTATGTGTGTGTAACCTGTTTTTTGTACCGTGTGACATAATCGCGCGAGTGTGCGTGCCTGTCTCTGTCCTTGTTCTTCTCGCGTCCGATCTGTCTCTTTCCCCGGGTGTCGCGAGGTCATCGTCGCGTTCGCAAAAGTCTCGTCCAAGGACCTGGTTCGGGTGCAAGGACAATATACGCGACGCGAGGATCCGTCATTGTCGTCGTCGCGAGGCTCTTGGGATAGTTTCCGAGGTGCGACGAAGTGACGTCTGGCCACCAGTAGCGCGCGGTAGAAGGTGGCAAAGATTCTGAGACAACCAGAGCTCGGCAGAGCCCTGGCAGGCTCGGCGGACACGGACGTACACCGACGAAGACGTAGCAGTCTTCTGGATTATCTCGAGCCCCGTGGAGCTGCCCTGGCAGTCTCGGGCACCAGCGCGGCTAAGATGGGCAACAATGCCGCGACTGCCAACAAGAAGGTCGATGCTGCCGAGAGCGTCAAGGAATTCCTCGATAAGGCGAAGAAGGAATTTGAGGACAAATGGAAGAAGAATCCGACCAACACCGCTGGTCTGGACGACTTTGAGCGCATCAAGACTCTGGGCACCGGCTCGTTTGGCCGCGTGATGATCGTCCAGCACAAACCCACCAAGGAATATTACGCCATGAAGATACTAGACAAGCAGAAGGTCGTCAAGCTGAAGCAGGTGGAGCACACGCTTAACGAGAAGAGGATACTGCAAGCGATCAGTTTCCCGTTCCTCGTATCGTTGCGCTTCCACTTCAAGGATAACTCTTACCTGTACATGGTCCTGGAATATGTGCCAGGTGGTGAGATGTTCAGCCACCTGCGCAAGGTCGGCCGCTTTTCCGAGCCGCACTCGCGTTTTTACGCGGCCCAGATCGTACTCGCGTTCGAGTACCTGCACTACCTCGATCTGATCTACCGGGATCTGAAGCCGGAGAATCTGTTGATCGACTCGCAGGGTTACCTGAAGGTCACCGACTTTGGCTTCGCCAAGAGGGTACAGGGTCGGACGTGGACCCTGTGTGGCACGCCGGAATATCTCGCCCCCGAGATCATTCTCAGCAAGGGCTACAACAAGGCGGTGGATTGGTGGGCGTTGGGAGTGCTGGTCTATGAGATGGCCGCGGGATATCCGCCATTCTTCGCCGATCAGCCGATCCAAATCTACGAGAAGATCGTGAGCGGCAAGCCACGCTTCCCCTCGCACTTTGGGTCCGACTTGAAGGATCTGCTGCGCAACTTGCTGCAGGTGGACCTCACCAAGAGGTATGGCAATCTCAAGGCGGGCGTGAACGACATCAAGGGTCACAAGTGGTTCGCCAGCACCGACTGGATAGCCGTCTTCCAGAAGCGAATAGAGGCGCCGTTTATACCGCGCTGCAAGGGACCAGGCGACACCAGCAATTTCGACGACTATGAGGAGGAAACCCTGAGAATCTCGCTGACGGAGAAGTGCGCCAAGGAGTTCGCCGAGTTTTGAACGCGGCGCCAACTCGGCAAGTTGCTCGTAACAGGAGATGGATACGCACGTCGTGTATACGTCGTCGTAGTCGCGCCTCGTCATCGGGCCGACGTGGCGCGGCGCTTCTTCGTCGTCGGTGTCGTCGTCTTCGCTGTCGTCGTCACCACGTTGGTGGCTCGCTTCTTTCGAGAGAGAGTAAGAGAGCGTGAGAGAAAGGCGAGAAAGAGAGAAGGATGTATGTGTGTGTCGCGACGCATCCGCGTGTACCCAAAGCTCTCGACAGCGCGAAACGGAGATTTTCGGGACGGAGTTTTTCTCGCGTGAGCGACGATGGTAGGAAAAATGTGTTATTTGAGAGAGAGAGAGAGAGAGAGAGAGAGAGAGAGAGAGAGAGAGAGAGAGGAGAGAGAATTGTGAGAGAGAGAGGGAGAGAGAGAAAAGAGAACGATATACGAAACGGTACGTTTCGCGATTGAACTCATTAAAGAGAAGGAAATGAAAAAGACGGGAACTATAGGGATGATAAGAGACGTTTATACACCGGCGTCGAGCATCCAAAAATTATAGATATACATAATTCTCGGTTGTTACGTATGTGTGTAGTAGACGTCATACGCCAGCATCACTTTTTACATGGAGAAATCTGTTTTTTTAGCCGGTCAATCGATTCATTAAACGTAATAACGGTATACTATATATATATATATATATATATATATATATATATATATATGTGTGTGTGCGTCCTTTCAGCATCTTCATATTCCTCTTTTTCTCCCCCTTCCTTCTCCTCCTTCCTGTCCCCTTTATCCATTCAGGATAGCTTCGTGATCCGATTTGTAGAGAGAAGGCCACATGTAAAGTTTATTCCCAATAATTAATTAGTAGTATCGGAAATGTCACCGTGCCGAAGTTACCTTGTACATATATCTCTCTCGTTGCTCTGCGAATGACGTACCTTCCTTTCCCCTCCGCTCCTCGCCTCACACGTGCAACGTCCTTCTCTCTCTTCTCCAAATCGTCGATAAGCTCCTTCTTGGCTGGTCCATTCCGTTTATCCTTGCATTACACACGAATCGAAAGAGAAGTACTGTGAAACTCATAACGTGCATCGTTCGATGTCTACTATTTGTCTCTATCCTCTTTATTCGTTGTGAGTGAGAGAAAGAGAATGAATGGGAGAGAAAGGAAGAGAAAAAGAGAGTACGATCTGCGTATTCCTCGTGAGTACGATTCACATTTATATAACTAGTCGTCACACATAACACACACACACACACACACACACAACAGACAAATACATACATACTAATTATGAAATAATTTATATATGAACGTTTTTCTCATCGATCGCGCCAATGACGGGCCAATTGGAGGAGATAGATATTTCTTTATATTCGCGATAAAAAAATATTCACGTGTCACGTGTGAGAAATATTCCTTTATATATATATATGCCAGCAAATCGGATACGTCCGTCATCGCGGTGACATTGCATCCGCACGCGATCAACTTCCGATTATTACAGTTTCCCTTGCATAGCGTTTCATTCCCGATGTATTATTATCTGCATTATCTTGAAAGCTTACGTTTAAATCCTCAAGATAAATGTGCAAACATACAGAGAGATACTGGCCATCTCGAACCATTGTGTATGAAAGAAAGAGAGTCTAGCAATGATATCATATTCTAGTTACTATTGGTATAAGAATATCAATATTGGAAGAAACGAGGAGCTATCAAGAGCATAAAGTTTAAATCGCGCTAACAGCTTCCTCATAAATGCGAGTGTCGATGTGTGCGCGAGTGTAATCATCGATATGGTATCGTGATATTTAAATCTCTCTTTCTCTTTCTTTTTCTCTGTCTCTCTCTCTCTCTCTCTCTCTCTCTTTCTCTCTCTCCCTTTCTAAATCTTACTCTTTGAACTTAAAGATTAAAGAAAACAAGTATAATTGTGATTAGCGATCTCGACGACATAAAATGTAATATCGGGAGAAAAATGAAGCGCACAATGTAGGGCACGGTAAAAAGTACTAAATCGATGGCGAATTAATAAGCGTCGCAGGTGCTAACGAAGCGTGTCGACGTAAAGATTACTCGATTGGAAGCTAATGGCAATGGTGGCCGCGATTACACGATCGAAGATTGCATTAGCCACGCGCGAGCGATCATCTCTTTTTTCCTCTCTCGAAGAGGATCGCGCTCTCGACCGGCTCTCGAGACGACGCAAAACACTTTCGCGTGTTGACGTCAATGTCGGTGCACCGAGTTTCGTTAATGAGTAAAACGATGGTTCGGAATTGGATTGGGCACACGCCAGCGCGATGTGGCCGGTCGACGAGGAGGAGGATCGATTCAGCGATGGGTTGTAACACGCGCGCGGACAATGCGGAGAAAATGCGGCACGTAAGTGCGACGAAACTTTTATATCCCCTTAGCATTCGCGATATAAGTTGAACGCGAACTTGGTAATGTATCGCGCGTCTAATATTCATCTGAGATTTCAAAGTTTCCCGTTCAAGTCGAATAAACTCCCAAGTAATGGACGATTGAAGCGCATCGACGTATCGAGCCTTTACATTATGTCAAAAAATAAAATCTCATAAATATCGCGCGCGAATAAATTATTCAATTTCGTGAGCTTTGAAAAATTCCGAATTTACATTCTCACTGCATTTCGTTGATATTTTCCTGCGTTATAAGCGAGAACAGTTTTTTATCAGGAAATTATTAAATCGCGAGCGATCAGCTGATCGACGAAGAGGGCTTTTTGCAACATCCGATCAATGAGATACGAAATGCAAAAAAATAAACATCCGTTACACGTGCGAGTGTAATTTCGCGAGAGGGAGAAAGAGAGGGAGAGAAAGAGAGAGAGAGTAGATTAAAGTGGGGGTCTTCATGTCCATGTTCTTTCTATACACGAATGCACACGCCGTTCGTTTGCACACGTCGCGATGTTATGAAGGAATTAGAATGAGAAAGAAAATGGCATAGCTGTATGAGCCGCGAAATAAATGAAGCACTTGGCGCGGCTTCGTGACGAGATTTTCAAATAACGAGAACTTGGCTGACGCGGTATGCAATTGCGCTTGCAGGCAGACGCGTTGTATACGTGCGCGTATGTCAAGAAATAACAAAGCATTGCGAATAATAGACCTAAGACACTTTTATTAAAACTGTGTTATTATGATAATTCTTCAAGATAGTACGTTGATTATTTGCTTTAACAATTAATCAAATATTATGATAAAAATAATTACGAGTTATTTGCTTTATTTTTGTGTTCTTTTTATTTTTCCATTTTATAATTGAAATTTATTCTACTATTCTTAGTTTTAATTGCTTGTGATATTGCGAGAATTCGTTACTCGTCCTAATTATGTTATTCTAGTGACAATCATGTTGTAAACATATGGTATTATAGAGTTTTTCATATTTATTAATGTTCGAATTTTAATTGCGGCAAACGGATTACATATAATTGTGCAAATGATTTAACAATTTTATTCGTTACGAAATTGATAAATGTCATGGATTATAAAAGCAAATTTTTAGATTCCTTGGCAATTCAATTTTATATGGATTTAATATGATTTAATATGAACATTAATATTAATCGTCAATGATTTTCAGCCTCTTCAGATAGTTTCTTACGTGCTTCTCGATTCGTAACACATCGATGAATTTACAGCATGTATACCGTTAAATAACATACTTAGTTATGCAACTATTACGATACTTACCTCGCCTCGGAATTTAGCGAAAATTTGCATTTTTTTGCATAACACGAAACTGTTTAACATATCTCAGAAATTGCGTTGCTGCGGCTTAATTTAACTTTTGTTCGCAATCAACATTTCATTTTCGCTTATTTCTTTATTCGATTTAGATAATTACACCATATATCGTTATAACGTTTGCTAACAGCTTTCGATCTCTTTCCGATACAGACACACAATTGATCCAAGTTCAATATTTATATTCCAAATTAAAGTAGCTATCCATGTGAGCAAACATGACTAACATCTATAATACCGTGCAGAATTTTCTGTCAGAATTTGATGAAATATAAGATTAAAAAAACCTATATTGGAAGAGAAAAAAAGAGAGCCTTTAATAGTCACGCGAATCTGGATAATTTTGAAATTTGTCATATCTGTCAAGCAAATATAATTTCTAAGATCGTGACCTATTTACGCGTTTCCGGTGAGCATGATGTGCGTAAATGCAGATACATGAGCAGATATCATATGTGAATTACCATAAACAATTCGTCACGAAGACGCGATTATCAATTCGTGTAATAAATTATTATTTTACAATTATTATTTTCCACAGGATACTTTATACAAAGCGATATGTCGTTGGAGACTCGGAGAACAAAAACTTCTTGAAACATATCGATTAGAATATTTGAGTAAAGTCACATCGCGATGTGTGCATTCGCAACGTCTTGCGCATCGATCGTAAAAAATAATCAACTTTATCCTACATTTATCGCGTTTTATTCTTGGAAATATAATAGTTAATTATTAATATATTGGCTTTATTTTTTGTTGTTGTAACAATATCTTCCTAAAATTACTTTACCATCGAAATTTATTCATATGTTAATCATGATAAAATTTTTATTGACGAGATATTCTTAATCGCTAAAAATGAAATCTCTATAAATAAAAATATTTTTCAGAAGAGTTATATTATTTTAATCGCGAGGCAAACAATTTTTGTCGGATGATCGTGGTTAGTAATGTTAATGCTTTATTGATATTATAATAGGACGACAGGATAATTATTATCGTCCATTATATATTTGATAAGGGATTTTGTCGTTCTTTTTTAGCAAATTATCTCGACTATTTGTTTCCAGTAGATAATATAATATCGACCAGCGACTTGCGATATTAAGGGTTGTATTAATAACAACGTAGGCACGTCAGGAGTGTATGTTACAATATAAATGGTTTCCATTTCTCACGCGAAAATAATCTTATCGCGATCAAGTCTAGTTATCCATTGATCGTATAACGCACAGGATACAGTTATCATTTGAAATCGAGAGAGAGAGAGAGAGAGAGAGAAAGATAATATTTTCTTTCAATTCAAATCTCCAATTATAATTTTATGTTTAATTCGATAAAAACGCGCGAACATCAATTGCTCATGGAAACATGAGCAATTTTAATGCGTTCTCGTATTTTCCAATATATATAATTTGTATATATAAAAAAATCGAACATTTATTTTATTATTATGTAAGAAGCATAGTATTATTTTTCACTGTGAATAATATACTATTGAATATGATATATTTAATTGTCGAAGCAAATAGTTCTCGGAAGGCTAAACTATTTCTTAATCTCTCTATTTATTAAACTATTTTTTTGTAATTGTATAAAAAAATGCAATATAATACAACGCAATTGCATAAGAAATTTCTTATACTCTTGTTTACGTTTACGCATAAAATTTCTCGCGCTGCAATAAGTGCAAACAATTTATCGCGAATGAAATCGGTTGTTGCAAAATATTTCACGTGTATAATTTAATTTGTTGACGCTCATCTCTTGTTTTCCAATTGGCCCCGATGGCAGGGGGTTTGTTGCACCTGCGGGAAGCTTTAACCGACGTATTTACGACTCGCGCGTATGCGAGCGCAAGCGTTTCATGTAAAT